GGTTGTCAGGGCACCACCCCTAGAGTGACAGGGGGTTGCCTCCATGTACCTCACGGTCATACAAGATAGAAGGAAGGCCCTTTGGGCTGCATCCGGCATTGAAGCTTCCTTGCGGTCCTGTCCTGTCCTCTGTTTTGCTATTTTATTTGCGTGTTGCCCCTGTTGCTGCTGGCTGTTGTCGTGTGGGGGACAGGAGTCTGTTCCTGCATGCAGCAGGTTTATTTGTTGTGTCGTTGTAACCCTTGTCTTTATAATATGCGTTTGTGTTTTTTAGGTACTGCTACGAAAATAATGGGAGGGGGGGGGGTTGCCACGCTTATCATTGCACTAGTTATTTTTCTCTTGTATTCAGGATTACCATCGAGTGTCATTCTTGCATTCCTAACGTTGTTTATTCAGTAGTTGCGATCCAGACGAAATAGTACCGGATGACTTGCATTTTATGTTTTGGGGGGTACTGTAGCAGGGGGGGGGGGCTTTTGATATTGTTTTGAGATAATGCAGAAGGGGGATGTTCGAACTTATATTTTGGGAGGTGATACAGCGGGGGGGCCGTAAAGCTTAAGCTTTCATGTTTTTGGGAAATAGTGCCGCAGGGAGCTAGATGTTAAGAATCGGTGTTGCCTCGATGTTAGAGGAACGGCATAATAATTGGTGAGAGGTTTGCCGTACTTTTCAAAATGACTGATGATGTATTGGAGGAAGGTATTGGCATATTTTGGGGAGACATGGTTGAGGCCCATGTGCTACCGATGCTTATGTGAGATTGGTCAATGGGCTGAACCATGGTTTTTGTGCGACGATCTTGTCCAAAGTAGTATAGATGCCGCGTTTTCCCGGAGTTATCCGTCCAAAAGTCTTTATGACGTGACTCTCATGTATGTTGATCTTTGCGGAGTAATTTTCAAAGGATGATTTCTTTGTTTTGGCTGCTTCAGATTTTGCTGATGGCATTTCCTCGAGAGGGGTGATGGATTGTTGAGACTCTTAGCGAAGTTCCATATTGGATTAAGGTCGAGTATAAACCTTAAATTTGAATATTCGAGATATCCTCCGGGAGTTGGGATGATTTGCAGATAGATATGATGAAGAAGAATGGTGCTTGGATTTGTTGCCGTTTTTACCTGGCGATATGTACGGGAGGTTTCGTAGATCTTATCTCGTACCGAGTAGGGGGGCTGTTTGTGTGTGTACTCGGCAGGATGCACATCTCCGAAATCTCCGAGGGGGTTACGCAGATGTGATGGATATGGACTTGCTGTTTATTGCAGCAGGGCCTTCTTGCCTGCTGCTCGTGTCTTGTCTCTCCCTAGTAATATACGGAACTTGAGTAACTCCTTGGTGCATAAACGTTCTCGACAAGAGCCGGTGAGTGTGATGACACAGCACACGCGCCGAGACCACCAATATCGTGTCCCAGACGTTTGTATTATCTTGTAATTACTTAGAATTAGCATTTTTTTTCAGGTGCTATGGTGTACCAAATGCCGCACGCGGTCCTGTTATTATCAGCACTACAGCAGTACCTGCAGTTTTTTCCATCGTTTTTTGTGAAGCAATGGGCACATTACTTTTTTTGCCCACCAACCCAAGGCGAGGTCTCTAACCCAGTGCTACTAGTTCAAACGTTCAAACAGTCCATGATGATATCCATGAGGCGAGGCGCAGCCAGCCATCAATGACGAAAATGCCCTGACCCTTT